GAGGATTGATGACTTCAAGTTACTTCAGAATAGATTTTAGTCAGAATCTCTCCCCAGAGTGGAATTTGCTTCCCTATTGGATTGAAGTTCAAGGTTGGAACCCACAGCCCAGGGATCACAGACTCAGCAAAGACTGAAGAGCATCATTAACATCAAGCAGCCCTTATTTGTACTTGTCCCTTTCATCTTCCCTTGAACTCCTGGTTTTGCTTATATTTCTCTGAAATCCTTAGAAAAATTCCTGACTCATTGGCCTATTTCCTCTGTTTTCCACCCAAGTGGTAAACAATGGGCTCTATTCAAATGCGTACTGTCTGTGAGCTGGGAACCTGCGTGCAGACAAAGCTCATTGTTGCAGGGCAGACTGCCAGACCCACGCTCTCCTCTGCTCACCTCCTGGGCTCTGCTTCTCTGCTCTAAGGGCCACTTGACAAAATGCAAAACATTGTCCTGGTTCTATGACCCTGTAGCTCACTGTCTCCTTTTCCCCTAGGGCCTCAGAGAAATACCACCCTAAATTCTCACGTCAGTGCTTTTGAGAACAACCTTTCAAAAGAGAGTAGAAACAACACAGGAGGTAGCTCAGGCCCCAGTCATGTAAGGACTACCACTTTTTATTTACAATCACTTCAAGATTGTGTCCTAAATCTCCTCCTAAGTTATTTTGTCTGTAGATGGTGAGTGCCGGGGGAAGAGAGCTCTTCAAACTTAGGGACATGGCAAGGCATGGAAATATACAAGGCTATTCAAGACTTTGGGAACACAGCAAAGGGGACTGAATACAGTAGCAGAATCAGACTGCGGAAGAAGAGGAACAGAACAAAGCTTCAAGTTAAAAGGGAGCCCATAGGACAAGAGAACTGAATCGAAGTGATAGAGCAGCCCTCAAGACGAGAGAGAGAAAGAGAGAGACGGAGAGAGAGACAGAGAGAAATCTTGCTTAGGGTTGAGGGAAGCACACCCCCAGTGGGAATACAGGAATCACAGGAGGAGCTTTTGCAAATTGTACAGATCCTCCCTTCCCAAGAACTTCCTCTGATTCCTGAGGAATGCTGCCAGCTTCCCCCCTCCATCTAAAAATGGTTAGGTAGAAAGTGAATTTAAAGAGACGTTAAGGGAAACTAATAATTATTAAATAATTATGATAGTTCAGTTATTACACTAGCTATGTTTACTTTTTTAAATCATTTCAACAACCATATGAGGTGTGGTTCTTATCCCTATTTTTTTCTTTTGTGATGAGAAAATTGCAGCCTATGGAGGTTAAATAACTTGCCCATGGTCATGGAACTAGTAGAGTAGCACTAGGATTTAAAATCAAGCTGTGGGACTGAAGATTCCTGAGAGAGAATTCTTTCCTTCTTGTGCAGTAACTTCTCTCCTTACTGATATCCAAACACCAAGTTCTCTAGATTCTTCTTCAATATCATGTAAATCCACCCTCTTCTAGTCAATCCTACGGCCCCCACCTCGTCGCTTACTTAGTTTTCCCCAAAAGCCTCTTAACCCACCTTCCTTTCCTCCCTCCCTTCTCTCCCTTCCTTTCCTCTCAACTTCCATCCTTCCCTTCTCTCTCCCTTGCTCTCCTTCCTTCCTTCCTTCCTTTCTTCCTTTCTTTCAAGCAAATCTGAACAACTCTAGCCTGCTTAAAAACCTTCAGTGACCTCCCACTGACCTAAGATTAAGTCCTTGTCCCCAAATCGGGCACTGCTTACCCAGTGACCTTCATCTTACACCCTCCGCCCGTCGCTCTCTATGCTCCGACCACATTGGACTTCTTTAATTTCCTCAAAACTGTAAGTCGTGTCCTAGGTCAGCGCTTTCCTTCTTGCTGGTTCTTCAACAGGGAACACTCCCTCCTCTTCTTTGCTCAGCTCAGCAATTCCCTAACTTTTTGGACTCAGGATTCCTTCACACTCTTACAAATTATTAAGGACACCAATGAGCTTTTTCTAATGTGGATTCTATCTATGGATATCTACATGTTATAAATTAAAACACAGACATTTTAAAATATTTAATTCCTTTAAAAATAACATAGTAAACTGATTCCACTTTAACCTAAATAATATATTTTATGAAAAATAGCTACATTTTCCAAAACCAAAAGTACATTAGTGGTAAGAGTGGCACTGTTTTACATTTTTGCAAATCTCTTTAATGTCTGGCTTAATAGAAGACAGATGGATTCTCATGTCTGCTTCTACATTCACTCTGTGGTGATAGCATACGTCATGTAGGTTCTGGAAAACTCCATTGTACACTCGTAAGAGAATGAGAACTAAAATGGCTAATTATTTCTTAGCACTACTATGAACATTGGTTTGACTTTTGAACCCCCTACAAGTGTCCTAGGCAGGACATCCAGGGATCCCAGGCTAAACTTTGAGAACTCTTACTCATTCTTCTTTTTTTCCCCATCTTTATTAAGGTACAATTGACAAATAAAATTGTAATATATTTAAAGTGTGCAACGTGATGATTTGGTATATATATATACATTATGAAAATATTCCCACAATCGAGTTAACATAAACATCACCTCACATAGTTTTATATATGTGTGTGTGTGTGTGTGTGTGTATTTTTGGTGAGAATATTTAAGTTCTACTCTCTTAGCAAATTTCAATTATCCAATACAGCGTTATCAACTATAGTCACCATGTTATAAATTAGATCCTCAGACATTATTAATCTTGTAGCTGAAACCTTGTACCCTTTTATCAAACTCTCTCCATTTCCTCCATCTTCACCCTCTGGCAATCATTCATTCTACTCTCTGTTTCTGAGTTTGACTTTTTTTTTTAGATTCCACATATAAGTGATACCACACAGTATTTGTCTTTCTCTGACTGGTTTATCTCCAGGTTCATATGGTCACAAATGGCAGGATTTGCTTCCTTTTTAAAGGTGAATATTCCATTGTATATATACCTCATTTTCTTTATCCATTCATCTGTTGACAGATACTTAGGTTGTTTCCATACATTGGCTATTGTGAATAATGCTGCAATGAATGTGGGAATATAGATATCTCATAGAGATAATAATTTTGTTTTCTCTGGATATATACCCAGAAGTGGGATTGCTAGATCATACAGTAGTTCTATTTTTAATATTTTGAGAAACCTCCATACTGTTTTCAATAGTGGTCATATGAGTTTACATTCCCACCAACAGTGCACAAGGGTCCCTTTTCTCCACATTCTTGCCAGCATTTGCTACGTCTCATCTTGAAGTTTAAATTTGCAAGGAGGTCTTCCCTGACCTCAAAGGATAGGTTGGGTCCTCTTTTTGTATGCTCCTATAACACTCTCTACCTTTCTGTCAAAACACTCATCCTACCTATAATTTCACCAGTAATTTGCATGAGGACAGAGACCATGTCAGCTTTGTTCACAGTGAGTCTCCAATGCTCAGCCCACACAGCAAGGACTCAGAGCATCATTGTGAGAGAGTGGAAGAGATAGAGGAAGGAAGGGAGAAAGAGAGGGAGGGAGGTCATCAGACCCAGAGACAACTTCCTGACCACTGCCGCCTTCCTCCAGCAGGATATATACAGAGACATACCTTTCTACAGCAGGCTGATGCAGCCCTGGGCTCCATTTCCCTCTAAAAAAGGGTGGGAGAGAGCGGCAGGCAAAGGACTGGAGTGACGACCCTGGTGAGACAGTACTGAATAATGGTTAGGAGTACACGTGCTGGAATCTTTCTTTAATGCAATCATCGACAATGCATATTGAGTATCTACAATTCGCCAGGCACTCTTCTAGGCATTTGGGGATACTTCAAGGAACAAAGCAGAGAAAAAGTTCTGATTTCAAGGAGCTTCCTTCAGACTTGAACTCCCCTCCAGGTTCTCCCACTTGACAAATTGATGGCCTTGGACTAGTTACTTAATCTCCCTATGCTTCATTTTCCTCATCAGTAAAATGTGCACAAGACGTACAAGTTTCCTGGTGAAAACTAAATGAAAGGGTATCTGTAATGTATCTAATGGAGAGTCTGGTACCTGGGGGGTGTTTAATAAATGGAAATCTTGCTGGTGACAACTCATATTCCATATTTTTTTCATATGTAGAAACTATTCTATGGACCAGAATCCAGTCATTTATGGAATATCACTTGGGTAGTTGGGAGGTGTGAGCCTTCAGAGCCTTCAGAGGGCTCAGAAGGGCTGCAGTGTTACTCTTCCTACAAAGAAACAGTAACTCCAGCTCCTTCTATACTTTGGAAGGCATCTTGATATTTTTTACGTTGTTCCATAATATTGGAGAATAAAACTACATAAGATACTATCATACTCTTAAGCAATGTGGTGCTTCAAGGCAGGCTTTCCCAGGCACTCACTCTTACAATTATGCCAAGAGCCAAAGACCATTTTAAAGAAGATATTCAGAGCCAGCTATTTGTAACTTGACTATCTGTTCCATGGGTCTGTCATGTATTATACTGTTACTGAGGTTTCCAACCCCACCTCTGACTGAGTTTAGCTTGACCGTTCTGAGAAGGAGTGACTGCCTTCAAAACAGGATTACCAGGAGAGAGAAAAATGGAGTGTGAGCTTTGATTTTTGTTTTCTCTTGACACCTCCTTTGGTCACTTCTCTACAGTTAGTACCACACTAGAGAAGTGAAAGACAGAGGAAGAAAGAAAAAGACAGTCATGTCAGCTGATTTTGCTGTATGTTACCAGTCTGGTAAAAACATTTGGAGTTATAGCGTTTTCAAACACGGAATGAAGTAAAGTTTGGAAGTTACTTGTGTGGATTTAATTTCCTCAGACTACCCCCATTGTTCCTTAGCAGGAAAGACTCGTGAGTCAACTATCCAGAATCGTAGTTATTATTCAATAGATGTGGGTTTAAAAGGAGGTTTGATGCCATGGCAAACCTCACTGACTTCCTAGACTATTCTTCAAGTTAAAGAGCAGAATGATTTCTGAAGTGACTGAAACACATATGGCTTTAAAGGATGTCAAGAAAACCTGAAAGCTCCCACATGGAAGTAAAGTTCGTTATTGGCAAGCTTGGTGACAGGACACCCCAGAAGCCTGAGCCACAAAGAATTTGCAGAACTCTGTGGCTAACTCCATGGCCCAGTTTGATCTTGAAGTTGTTGTCTTGGATAATCCTCTCAGATCTGTTCCTGCACTTAGGAACTACACAGCACATGATGGAGATCTCCCTCCTGGGTCCTTTTGCATTGACCCATCAGAGCAGAATTTCAGCGAATAGATATCATGTCAAATCATCCAACAGATGTCCCTTTCAAATGAGCTGGAACAGAACCAACTATACGGAGAAGTCATAAACAAGGAAACATGCAACCCAAGGATTTTCAGTGGATTGGCATAGCTCTTTGTACAGAAAACTCAGTACACGAATTATACAGAGTGTACGAGCATCGGAAAATTGACTCTTGCCCCACTTGGGGCTCACACCGCCTGACAGAGATGCAGGGGGACATTTTAGAGTCTAAACTCTTCGTCATCTCAATGAAGTATTCTTCAATTCCATAGGTCCAAGAAGTAACAAATTTTAATAACTGGCATAAAAGGATTTAGGAGAGAGAAACCCAGCATTTCCAGTCCCATTTCTGTCAGTGACTCACTCATCATATTGGAAGGGGGTAGCCAGAATTGTCTGATCTCTTTTTCTGATTTCCCTCTTCACTGGCATCAGAGGATTTCACGCAGGAAAACTAATATCTGACTGGGCTCCAAGTGCTAAATAAGAGCATTCCATGTTCATTCCGGGCCACCAAGAGGTTCAGGGTCACCAAGTCACATACTATGAATTTGAACGTTTGACGATTTTTGCAGGCCACTGGGTGAACAAGGAAAAACCCAGGAGATACATAAAGGTGGAAACTAGGAATTTCTCATTTGACTTATTTAACTCGTCTCACTCTGCTGGTTCTGAATAAAAAAAGAACTGCAGGCCCTTCAAATGAAGTTGCTACGTTTCGTTTTTTGCCTCACACTAGAATAGGAAACACGCTCAATAACATTTACAAGGCTTTTCAAGGCACAAAGTAAAATGGCCAATTTATTGGCAGCGTATTTTTGTTGCTGTTGTTTTTATTGTCCATACAGTCAGGCAATTGATACTATTTAAAAAATCAAATCACCAATTCAACACTGCCTACTTCTGATTTAATTTTATTCTAGCAACAGCCTAGAATTTATCGAAAATCTCTTATATGCCAGGCATTCTGCTAACCATTGGGAATATAATAATCAATAAGGTACTGTCCCTGGCTTCATGGACTCTTAAACATCATTTGAACAGTTTTATTACGTGTTTATATGTTGGAATTACCAGAACACTTAGCTCAAACTAAGGGCTCAGATTAGAATTTGTAGAGGAGATATTGGCTGAGCTCAGTCTTAAAGAATGTGGAGATAAGTGTATACATTTTTTAATGTTGGTGGCCTTATAAGAAGAGAAGAGAGAGAGAGAGTTCTCTCTCTCTCTACCATCTTAGGACACAGCAAGAAGGCAACCATCTGCAAGCCAGAGAGAAAGCTCTCGCCAGAAACTGATCGTGCTGGCACCCTGATCTCAGACTCTCAGTCTCCAGAACTGTGGAAAAATTAATTTCTGTTGTTAAGCCACCCAGTCTATGGTTTTTTGTTATGGCAGCCCAAGTAGACTAGTAAAGCAGCTAGGACCATTTTTTAAGAACAGCATCTGAGATTGAAAGGGGTCATTAGGACATGCAGTGAGTAAAGTTGGTTATTCCATGGGTTGACTTGCTAAATCCTCGTATATAGCTCCAACCTCTGTGGCATAATATACTTTCCCACAGGTGTGTCGTAGCCTACTATTCCAACAGGATCAGGGAATAAGGAGTGAGCAAATTCAGGGGGTGCAATAGTCCTGTACTGGACAAATGGGCATGACTCTGTGGTTAGGGGTGTGGAGTAACATCTGTCATTGACATGTACGTGCCAATCCTGCTTTTCCTTTCCTTGGGAATGGCCACAGATGTTTCCACAACAGGTGTGTTTTCCTCCCCTACATGGTTTTCCCAGACACATCACAAGCAGTGTTCTCATTGAGTCACCTTTTCTATTCAGGCAAAGCAAGCAGAGAAATGAGACAACTGCCCAGAAATTTGATTCAGGGGGAAAGAATGATATTACTTAGTTGGTTCTGGGGTGCTTGAATATATGTTCAGCGGGGAGTGGGGAAATTACCAAATGCTGGAGACTGCATGTTTCTCAAACCTTTTATAGTTGTTGAAATCTTTCACTCCTTTTTGTGTTGTTCTTGAGTAATAGAATCAGGACAGAACAATGTACATTTTATTTCCTGAACAATAGATCAGCAGGCTGAGACTTGAAAGGTAAAGCAATATGGTGGCAATGAACATATTGTTGGAGCTCAAACTTGATGACTAAATTTATAATCTGAGACTAAGTTCTTAACCTATCACCCCGTGTATTCTACCAAGAATTTTTATTATCTAACTTTTTTCATGGATCCCGTGAAAAGTGCTAGCAATTTTTAAACTTTAAACCATGTGGTTTGTATTTCTACTATGTAACTAACTTGTGGTTAATTAGGAAATTCAGAGACCTTTGTCTTTCAATCATGATGTATCAGAATATAACCTTCCACAAACCCTGAATTAAAAATGCTCACACATCTACAGAACCCTTTTTAAAGAGTAACACAGGATGGTAAAAACTCATAAGTAATCCTAATAAAAGAAAGGACTCCACATAATTCCATCTAAGCATAAAACTGCATTCAAAGAGAAACAGTCTGCCAAGTGCAATTAAAAGCAGTTCAAATTTTTACTTATGTTTTACAAAGAATAACAAGTAGAAGGATACATATCCTTAATACAGAAAAAAACATCTTGAAGTTATGTTTCCAGTTATGGACTATACTTGTATTCTGCTTGCTAATTATCTATTTCTACATTCATATGACCCTACAATCTCACTTACCACAGATATAGCAAATGATTTTTTTTCTGTTGTTTGGGTTTTTTTTTTTTTTTTTTTGATAAGGGAGATATTGCCCTGAGCTAACATCTGTGCCAGTTTTCCACTATTTTGTATGTGGGTCGCCGCCTCAGCATGGCTGATGTGTGGTGTAGGTCCATGCCTGGGATCCGAACCCACAAACCCAGGCTGCTGAAGCAGAGCACCCTGAACTTAACCACTATGCTGCAGGGCCAGCCCCCAAATATGATTTTTAAATAATGTTTTAAAATGAGAGTCATCTTAAATAGATAGATCAGACTCTATCTAGGCATCCAGAGAAGTTGCTCTCCAAGAGCACATACTTCCTTTCTTAAGGAAAAAGGACTTAAGTTTAAGATCTCACCTCCAGATCACATGAGTTGACATTTCCTGTCTATGAAAGCAGCATCCTAGATACTTGTCACCTAAAAAAATGAGATATATATTTTAACCAAAAGGGTAAAATGTTAAAATTGAAAAAACTGTATATGTCAATCACCAGTAAGATCCCAGGGACCACTCATTAGACTATTGGGTCCCCTAAGGACCTATGACACCTAACTTGGTGGCTTCTACCAGTATCTTAGGGGTGGTGGGAGGCTGGTCTTAGAGTTATGGCAAATATTACTATCTAGAACCATCTTTTTTATTTGCTTGTTCGTATGTATATTGCCTGCCTTTTCCACCACTATTCTGTAAACTCAAAAGTAGGGACATACTCTGTCTTTTCACCCTGGTATTTATAGCTCCCAGAATAGTGCTTGGCAAGAGTGGATACTCTAAAAGTGTTTTGAATGATTGAGTGAATGAATAAATGAATAAGTGTTGTTTAAATACCCCTTTCACCTTTCCTCCACATTGGCTTATCCAGCAGGTGCTGGAGTCACTGCCCCACTGACAAAAACTGAGTGAAAAGTTATGGACTCAGATATCAAAAAATGGACATTAGAGGAAATAATAAACTATGATGACACATATCTTCCAAGGAGTAGGATTTCAGGGAAACATATAAATGTTCTTTAATATCATCTATCAACAACTTGAAATTAGGTGCTTTCTCTGATTACAAAAGCAAATTTACTAGCCATTCTGTGCACTCAAAATGGCTAATGCCAAGCTTTTGTGTGTGTGTGTGTGTGTGTGTGTGTGTGTGTGTGTGTGCGCGCATGCACGTGTATGTATGTATCTGGGGAAAGATGTTGGGGATAGGCATTTAAACCAACTCTTAGAGATGACTTGTATAAATACAAGGTTGTAAGATAATTATAAAACCAAATTCTTCCTCATCAAAATAATTAGTTGTAGTCAATAAGAAATAAGCAAGTATCTATTGACTAGAAATTATTTGCAAAATACTGTGTTAGGTAATGTGTTGGTCTGCTGTAGCTGCCATAACAAAATACCACAGACTGGGTGGCTTAAACAATAGAAATTTATTTTCTCACAGTTCTGGAGGCTAGAAGTCTAAGACCAAGAGGCCAGAAAATTTGGTTTCTGGGGAGGCTTCTCTTCCTGGCTTGCAGACAGCTGCCATCTCGATGTGCCCTCACATGACCTTTCCTCTATGTGCACAGAGAGAGAGAGAGAGAGAGAGAGAGAGGGAGATCTTGTGTCTCTTCTTCCTCATATAAGGATACAAGTCCTATTTAATTAGGGCCCCATCCTTATGAACTTATTTAAACTTAATTTTCTCTTAAAGGCCCTATCTCCAATACAGTCACATTGGGGGTTATAGTTTCAACATATTAATTTCGGGGGGGAGGGGCTTTAATCCATAACAGGTAATAAAGGAGAAAATATGAATAAGACACTGATTTTCTCAAGGAGGTTACAATCTAGAGGTGGGTTGGTGAGTGGAAACCAACATAAGCGCCCAGGCATAACTGTAGCATTTAATCTGACAGAAATTCCACAAGAGAAGTAAAAATCAGTTGCCCTGAGACTGACAAAGGGAAAGGTAATGAATTTGATTTGAAATGAGTGAGAAAGGCTTCACAAAAGATATATTAGATAATTCCACCAATAGAAGACTCCGTAACAGCGTCCTTCTGAAGCAGATTTCAAAAATAGCAATCTGAAAGATCTAACAGTATGAGAATGGAATGAAATCTTCGAAAGAAAACAAGATAAAATCTATGAAAAACAAAGTTTGAAAAATCTAAAAAAAGTCTCTGTTTGGGGAACTCAATAACTGGATATATGTGGAGGTAGCTGCTTTTTTGCTTGCTGTGGAAATCTGATGCACAGACCTCAGCAGAAAGGTCTTGGCCACAAAGAATAAGTCTAAACTAAGATAAGCAAGAATATCTAAATATCTGTATCTATAACAAGAGGGTACATATTTACCCACACCCACACGTTTCAGAAATCTCTTGATTCTAATTTACTAAGCTGAATGAGTGGGCACATTTTTTAATAGGTGAATACCTTCTACTGATAAAAGCACGTTCATCTAAGGCTTAAAAAAAC